AGCAGCTCCTACCAGCCTTCCTTGCTCACATTGCTTTGTTAATAACTTTTCATTTGGGGAATTCCTCCAAGCTGACTTTCATCTTGTTTTTCAACAGGAAAGTCCTATTTTCATTCAAACCCCATCAGAATAATGCCATTGTATCCAGACACAAGTTTGTGGCACCTCATACTAAAAGATGCGCAGGCTGTCCTGGCTACGCACCAATTTCTCTGATAGGAACGAAGAGTTGGTAACCTACTGCTCGACCTCAATTCCCTTCTCACCACCCTGTTTATAACAAGCATATTGCTAGATCAGACATTGAAGTGGACGCCACAGATCTCACCCACATCAGTGGGTGTAAATGGGTCCCTTCCATACAGAATTTTCTTCTGTGAAGGAATATGCCATATATTTTTACATGCATTTTACACCTTTGTGTTTCACTGCAGAAGCAGATGATTCTTTAATCCTACTTCTCCCATTTGCAATGTCATTTATATTATGAATTGTTTCTTTGCATAGCTTTCATGTTATTGATGTGTCTGAGGAACGTTGGCTCTTCACACATCAAGGGAAGACAGGACACCTTATGTTTCGCACTGATTTTCATCAGATTTGCATTGATCCAAACACTAAACACTCAATAATGCAGGCCCATTCTTGTGATCCTTTCATGATCTCATGATGCAGGGAACCCCAGGCCCTGAAGCAGAATAAATACAAGGAAATTTTCCAGCTTGCAAAGTTAAAACAGTCTGTGTTGTACAGAATCTTGTACATTTTCTTTGCATGATTGACAAATTAGGTGAAGAATCACAGATGTCATGACAGCCAAGAGCTCTTATTTAAACACATTAGCAGAAATCATTTGATACCAGCAAATCCAAATAAACGAGATAAACCTTATTTTTTAGTTTAAATGTGTGCAATATAATGAATATTGCTGAAATGTTATTCCATGTATGTTTTTATTTTAGAACATGCGCACATTTTCATAAGATCTTGCTCAGGAGCTCTGATACAAAATGTAAACCGCATCCAATGACTGCCAGGATAACTAGCAGAAAGCACCGGCCATCGAAGTGGGATACATCAATGGCAAGCAGTCTCACGCTCACTTAGAGCCTCCAAATTAAATCTGCTTGCCTTATTTATATGCATAATTCCAGCAGAGTAATACTTATCCTGGTACAACACCCTTAATTGAAATGGCACTAGAAAAACAACATTTTTGATCCATTTGATTAACACAAGCAGCATTTGCCCGACGTTCAGTCTGTTCACGTTAAGCAGCCCCACACAATTTGACGCAACTGGCATTCACCGCTCCAAAGAGACCCATGCCTGCACTTAAAGGGATGCACAGGAGCAAAACTCAAACACAGGCTCTAAGACCACCCCTTGCGGTGTGCAAAAGATCATGTTAAACACCCTTCACTTTCAAGGACACTTAAAACACATCACAGCAATTAGAAATGAAGGGGGAAATAAAGAATAATCCCACTCGTCTTCTCATGGCCTACAGGATGAAAAACACTTGTCTCAGAATTGATTATAACCAGCAGCATTTCATCTCTAGAGACCCGAGTTCAAATTGTAACTGAAAAACAAGGTTTGTGGTTTTAAATTAAGTCAGTTATGTTCCTCTTCCCAGTCAGGGCATGAAGCTTAACACCTGACAAATTACAAAGTGATCGGAAAAATTAACAACTTCCTCCTTTTGTTAGAAAGACTGAAAGATGATACTTTATCTGACCATTTTTTCATTATCAGCATTTAGGTCAGCTGCAGCAACTTGCACACTTTTACACGTATTGTGTTTTAAGTTGATTCAGTGGAGGACAGAGGGTTTTCCTGTGTTTTCATGCACCGCGTGATCATTACCTTGTATTTACAATACTTGTACAATTTTCTGGGTTTGTTCACAGCAGAAAACAACACGTAGTTGCGCACTGGCCTTTCTGTTCCATCGAAACAACGTGCCAAGTCTTCAAAACAGTCTCCCTCCCAGTTCAGTGCAACTTAGGGCACCCTGTACCTTGTGTATGCTATTGATTCTTCACTAATACAAGCGTTAGCTTCAGTTGAAGAAGTACACTGTAATTATTAAATCAGACAGAAAGCAAACCCAGGCACTATTTTTAAGCATAAGAGTCAAGTATTGTTGTAAGTATTCTGACCGCAGCTAGATGTCCCTCCTCACAACAGGCAGAGGTCTTTTGTAATCGTGTTCATCATCTTTCTGATATCCTATTTTTCTCTCTGATTTTCCACATTGAAAACTTTTTCTTTTTTTTTTTTTTCAGCTATGTTTGCCTTTAATTCCTCTAATCCTCTTTTCTGAATATAAAAAAGGACTAAAAACGGCCTCTTTTAACTGCTGGTTGTTCACATACTTTTTTTTTTAATGGAGTGGCAGTAAAGGTAGGGCTTAGCCCACCAGCATTTTACGCAAGCAGAGTCCCATTCACTTCTCCTGAAGCTTTACCCAAACAAAATTGCAGTCCTTTATTTTCACAAAATGAGCTTCACATTATTTTTTCTGTTCACCAAAACATGCCCAGGTACAACTGTACAGTACGTTGGGTGATTCCTTGCTGCAATGTAGTAGGTGGAGCTCAAATTATGGACCAGATTCAGACGCTGTAACTCTACTGGCACACCGTTCATATCAGTAAAGTGAAGCAGATGCTTGCAATGCACCATTATTAGAAGAGCAGCGAGTGCTCGCTCAGAATGACAGGATGAGCTTTTTAATATAATTAGAATCCAAAGGAGATTTTTGGAAGCTAAGTCAATCGGGCTCATCTAGTTCACACTCCCACAGGCAATTAATTCCTGTTCACTTTACTCACCCAGAAAACTTTCTCAGAAGAGACCAAGGAATTATGCATATGTAACGGACCGTGCTTCAGCCCCCAAAAATCAAATGAGCTTATGCTGTAACACGCTGTCATGAGAAAGCCCAATTTAGAAATCACAGCAAAGTCTCATACTTAACGCAGCAGGAGCCAAAATCGGGGCGCAGCGTCCCAGCCCGGAGGGGAAGCTGGGCTCGCTTCCCCCTGGGCAGCGCACCGCTCTGCGTAGAGGCTCTGCAGCTCCCTGCCGATAGCAGCGCCTCAAACGCGCGCGCGGCTGTTGCGAGGCAGACGGGCAGGACTGTGCAGCGGGTAGCAGGGGTGCTTCCTAAAGCAGCGGATGGATAAGAAGCAAGCGACACGCTCTACAAGCGGATCAGATTTTCAAGCACTGCCCTAGGACACACCGACTGAAAAAAAAAAAGAAAAAAAATCCCACAGGGTACAGCCCAAACCCAGACGTCCAAAATCCACTCAGAATACATACAGTGATAACACAAAACACCTAATCTCACAAAGCCACAAGTACCTCAATATGTATTTTAAATACCAAATTAACTATCCCTCCCATTTTTAGCACTGCTATCTGGAATTTGGGAATACATCCTAACAGGCCAATTATAAAATCTTCCAGAGATAGATATTATTAATGCTGTTTGTGCTGACAGTGATGATGAACTGAGGGAACGGACGTGTGTAATGTAGCCATTCAGCAAGTGTATAGGCAACCTTATGCAATAATCTTTTAACTAGTTTATTAAATGTGTTTCCTTTTCAAAGTTCAACATCTAATGCCAAAATTTCATCAAGAACTCGAATAGCTTAGTAGCCAGCTATCACCTGTTTAACTTAAAAGTACTGACACAAGAAATGGACACATTACACATCACTAAAATTTTCACACGTACATACACACACACTTACCAGCATCCTGTTTATATCAATTTATTTTCACAAATCAAGTTCCTTTTTCCTACTCATACTCTTTACATGTGCTGAAGGCACAACACCCACACAGGCAATGTAAAATGTACTTCCTGTAGAAAAGTCTATAGTCTCCTAAGAGAACAGTTTGGCAAAACCACTTTTGTTTAAAAATTCAAGTTCCAAAATGAGCCTTCAAAGAGCATCAGAGAACACCGCCAAGATTAAAAACTACTTCAGGTGTCTGCACTTCTAATACACAACACACCACTTAACTTTTAATAAAACCAGGACTTTTTCAGGAAATTATAAAAGCAGAAGTAGTAAAACCTCGTATTTTTTTAATCAAGTTTTAACGATGGGACAGAGTCTCTAGGCAAAGCTCCCAGAAAGAGCCAGACCACCATCTGGCTCCATCACAGAGCAATGACAATTCACAAGAAACGAGTATCTAAGCAGCACTCTGAAATCAAACGCTAGGTTGACTCTGTAAAAGCTCCATTACAGCTATGAACACACAGCTGTACGTTTCCTCCCTCCTCGTACGTAAATATACCCTCGGACACTTAGACAAAAGGGAAAAATAAATCATTTTATGCATTCTTCTATGCTTCCCTGTTATGCCTGTTACCAATCGATGTCAAGAAATATCTTAAATAGCTTACTGTATTGTTAACACTATAGAATATATATAATATATATAATTTTATTTTTGTTTTCACACATGCTAATGTTTCCAGTATGATAAATGTCTTTTTAAATCCTGCACTTCTTGTCACGCTGTAGATCCACTTCTGTTTGACAGTGACTCCTGCACGTACATGTCAAGACAAAAATAAATACTGCTGTGATGGCAAACGTTTTAAAACTCTTGAGACACTAATACAGTGGCACTTGAAAGACTTTTTAAATACAACAAAAAAGACAATAGTTAAATAGAAACCTGCATTGACATAGCCACAGAACCTGCCTACATTCGTGAGATCTGTACTTGTTTCTGCGAGAGCACCTCCTAATCTTTGAACATGTCAAATGTTGCACTCCAGCCCTCCACCCATACCCTTAAAAAAGTCCACGTTGCTATTTTAAGCAAGCATCCCCTCTAGCTGTGCATAAGCAACACTGTAATTCCCAAACAATTGAGGTAATTATAAAAATGAATATCATTTATTTTTTTTTTTTATTACTATCATGTCTGAACATTTGCTTTCATACAAAAGTCTGATTTTCAGCATTCTGCTTTCCAAGGGCATCCCCTCCGCACCAAGGGAGATAAAGATGTGCTAGGAATTGTGCAAGAGTTTTTGTTACCATCTTCAAACTCAAAAGAACTCCATAAACAAGATTTTGGTACAGAATCACTGCCTGGCATTTTAGAGAAGGGGAAAGGGTCTTTACACATATATTCTGTTCCACTTTATTTTTATTTTTTTTTAAATCGCATCTAACCCAATGTAGAGGGGGGAAAAAATTGAAAAAAAGAAAGAAATCATCACATTACTCTATGTTACCCTTCAGCAGTCTTTGGAGGAAATCGGAAACCGTGTTGCTTTTCCCAGCTCCCTCCCTCACTCAAGCCAGCCGGAGGATCTCCTCTCCCCAGCCGGGCTCAGCCGCCCCCGAGGGCAGTCGGCGGGCGCACGCTGCCCCGTCACAGCCGCGGCTTCCTGAGCAACGTTCTGCTGAGGTCCTTCACCTCTTCGGGGCTGCCGACCCTCTCGTAGCCCAGCAGGGCCATGGGCTGGTGGCAATACTCCTCGACCTGCTTGATCTGCTGGTAGCTGAGCGCAGTCCTCCAGGCACTCAGCGCCTGGGTGGCGTTCCTGGCCGACACCACGAAGGGCTTGGAGGAGTAGCCGGGGCCGCTGGTCATGTTGAGGGCGAACTTCTCCATCTCTGGGCTGACCGCCAGGTTGACGAAGCCGTACACCTGCCGCAGGGTCTTGATGGGCTCGACCACCAGGTCCTCGTAGCGCACAGCCATGTAGTTGCCCTGCAGCCAGTCAGGGGGGTGCAGGGCAGTCTGCAGGGTCTTGGCCATGCTGCTGCAGATGACCTCCATGGCACCCAGGGCATGGTAGTCTGAGCCACCCCCCCCCTCCTTCTTTCCACCCAGCTTGTGGCCAGCATCAAGGAAGGGCATGCGATGGATGCGGGGGTCCCTGCTCCTCACCACCTGCAGGCTCTCCCGGATGAGGCCGTGCCGGGACTTGATGCGGGAGCTGGCGACGGCCCGGGGGTCCCGCACCAGGTGGATGACTTTGAGGTCCAGGGTCGGGTCCCGCATGAGTGGGGCGAGGACAGCCAGGTCAAAGACGCGGACGCCCTTGATGACCAGCGTGCGATACTTGTGGCACTCCTCCTGGAAGCGGCTGAGGCGCTGCGGAGGACACTTCTTGCACACCCGGTCATCCACCATGCCCACCACCTCCTTGCGGTAGGCCGGGCAGAGGGGCGAGGAGCAGATGACCTTGTTGGTGGACGCCCCGAAAATGCCCAGCGTGGTGAGGTTCTTGCCGGCGCCCGCCGTGCTGTAGAGCTGGAAGACGGAGAGGTCGCAGCGGTACAGGGAGCTCAGCATGTCGCGGGCCGCCCCTTGCAGCGAGACGGCGTCCCCGGGGTACAGCTTCTGCCAGACGTGCCACACCGGCTCGTAGAGGAAGAAGACCTCGGGGTTCTGGTTGAAGAGCTCCCCGAAGAAGGACGACCCCGAGCGCCAGGTCGTGAAGACATAGAC